CTCACCAGCCCTGGCACCCCCAGTCCGTTTCATACCGGGGCCCTGCGTCCTCCCGAGGCCCCCCGCGGCCCGCCCCCCCCATGTCCGGGAGCCCCTGTGCTCACCCTGAGCCCCCCAGTTCAGAGCCCCAGTGTCCTCCCTTTGCCCTCCCAGTACTCCCCCCATCCTCCCAGTCTGATGTCCCAGTGCTCTCCCTGAGCTCCCCCAGTCCGGGTCCCCAGTGTCCTCCCAGTGCCCTCTCCTGAGCCTCCCTGTCTGGAGTCCCAGTGCTCCCCTTCAGTGGTCACCCCAGTGCCCCCAGTCTAGGACCCCAGTGCCCTCTCCTGACCTCCCCCGAGTCTGGAGTCCCAGTGCCCCCCCTGTTCGCCCCCAGGCTGGGGTCCCAGTTCTGTGTGTCCTCTCCTGACCCCTCCAGTCTGAGGCCTGAGGCTGCAGGGCTCCTGCTGTACCCTCAAGATCAGAACCCAGTTAGGGACTTCGGTGTCCCCAGTAAGGGACCCAAGTCTGAAGCCCTTGTGTCCCTGGGGCAGAACCCCTGTGCCTTCCCAGTGCCTTCCCTAAGCGAGATCCCTCGTGTCCCTCCATTTCCCAGTGCCAGGACCCCACTGCTCCCCAGACATCTCACAGTGCTGGGCTCCAGCACTCCAGTACAGCACCCCAATTGTCTGCCAGATCCCGCATGGTGTCCCAAGGGCAGGTCCCCCATCAGGCACCCAGCTGCCCCCCAGCTCTGGGCTGTTCAGAGGGCACAGTTTGGGTCCCAGTCTGCTCCCAGTTTGGGTTATGAGTCTGTTACTGAGCAGCCTGGGAGAACTAGAGGGGCAGGCTGGGCATGGACCGGGAGAGGTGGCAGCCCTTTGGGGGACCCTGGGCGGGGGGGAGATGCCCCAGCCTGGCCCGGGGCAGGCAGAGGCCCAGGGCAGGCAGTGCCTGCCCGGGTCCGGGAACAGGGAAAGCTTTTCCTCTTTCACTTTCCGCCCACGGAAAGTCCAGGGCGGGAGTTGGCTGTGTGCCCGGGGGGCCCAGCAGGCCCCAGGAGGACGTTGAGCCCCTTCCCCTGCCCGAAGGACCTCCCTGAACTGTGGGCTGGGGGGCACAGCTCTCCCCTGCCATCACTCACCCCCTTCACATCCTTCCCACCCCCCCTGCCTGGGGTCCTCGACCAGGCTCTGACCCCCCACCCCCTACCCCATAGCGGCCACTGGGGTCCCCCCACCTGCCCCGGTCCCCCCACCCGGGGGGTGTGTTTCC